GTTATCATTCCGAATTTTGGAAAATGTTTGAAGAAAATTATGTAATAGAATAAACTTTAAATAACATTCTTCCATTTTTAAAAGAAGGGTAACATCCAAAATGATTTCTCTGCATTGTGTTCTCATTTTTAAGTTTAGAATATTGAAAGAAACCAGTTTATCTACCCTCCTTGTTACATTGAAAACTGTATAATGTTTAATTTGGCAAAATATTTTATGATATTAGAATTAAACTCAGAAAATATGGTGACTATTGCACATCTGTGGATTTTGTTTTCCTAATATCTATTTCAATGCTATATATCTTTCCTGGAGCATTGTAACTATGAATCATAAAAGAAAATTAAACTGATTCCGTATTCTTCAACCCTACAACTTGGCAGTGAGATCTTTTTCCTAAAAAAAATGACTCATTTACAAAGAGACTTTCTGTGAACACAGAAAAAACTTCAGTACTTAGAAAAATCTCACAGATGGGGTTAGGATAGATATTTGAATTTACTGATAAATCCAAAATGGTAAAATTCATATTGAATAGTGTTAATCAGTTGGTGATTGTGGTAAAAATGCAGTTCTACAATTGTGAAAAAATTTACATCTTCAGAAAAATAAACATTCACTAGGCTGTGTGAAAAGCTTATCATTTATCTTCCTTTAGGGCATTTCTCTTGTTTTAATGTACCCTACTATGAGTCAGCCAATGTTTTATTTCTTCCTCTTCTTGGAAATTGTTGTGTTGTAATATTCCTCCCTGTTAACCTTTATTTTTCTGAGGTTTAGTCCAACATTTTTTTTCTGAATTTTATCCAGTTTCTTGTGGTGTTTTGCCCAGGGATCCCCTGGCTTGGATGTGGTTGTGGTTTTCTTTATTTTGTTACTAAGCATGTTTCCTTTAGCTTCGAGAATAATTGAATGTCTGTCTGCAATTAAGATTTTAAGAATGCATCTCATTGTAAGTTTTTTGTTTGTTTGTTTGTTTGTTGGTACCAAGAATCGAAAGCAGGACCTCACGTTTGCCAGGCAGGCACTGCGATGCTGAGCTACATCCCTGGCCCTTGTTAAAGATTTTAAGAAGATATATCCCACAGTATCTTCTTATTGTGGAAAGCAGTGATTCTACAGTGTAGTTCTTCAAAATGCAACACAAGCAGCCATTGCGAAGTACACCAAGGCCATGTCTGCCTGTGTGAATGTGGAGTAGGGTGAAGCCCTAATGAGGATGACTGGACCCACCATTCCCAGGGCGGCAATGGTGACTGTTAAACCCATGCAGAACATTCTGAAGTGTTCTTGTGTCTTCCCAATTGTCATTATATTTAAGAAGGGGCTGGGGATTTAGCTCAGCGGCAAAGAGCCTGCCTGGCAAGCGCAAGGTCGTGAGTTTGGTTCCCGGTACCGGAGAAAAACCAAAAAAAAAAAAAAAAACAAAAACAAAAAACAAACAAACAAAAACATTATATTTAAGAAATGAAAGAAACTTTATCTATTGAGTTCCTAACATCTGCCAAAATCGTGCCTAAGACTACAGTTCTTTTATTTTAAAAGTGAAGGGGATATTATTATCCATCTTGTGCTTTGAAACTGAGCCTTTGCTACCCAAGTTGACTTAGCCAAAATCCCATAAAAAGTGAAGGGAGGACTGAAACTTTACAAGTTTAAGATTCATTGTCCTTCCACTTCACCGCGTTACCTCCCAGCATTTGGGGACTTGATGATTCCTCCGAGGTTGCATTATGAGTCAGAAGTGGGCTGGGAACACAGTGTAGGGAACGTCTACATGTTCTAATACATTAACTGCAGTGTGTCCTCTGTAACAAATGCCACCCATCAACTTCCACAAGGAGGAGAGACGACCCAACAGCTTTTAATCTACAGTAAAAGATTAATTTTATTTCAACAATGTGATAAGGCAGGTATAACATTTGGTTTAACTTTTGAAAATAATCAAAAGTAAAATAGTTTATTAAATATGAACTTTGCAGACGACTGACCATGTCAATTAATAGCCAGTCTCCATGGTAGTTTTATTTTAAGGAATTTTATGAACATTTTCCCCACCTCTGGGCACTCAGAATTGTAAACAGTTTAAAAATAGTCTGAAAAAAAATGGACTTCTCCAGATCTGATGAGTCATTCTGAATGATCATATGTGGTCCACTATGAAACACTCTTTGATAAATAAAGCATGTTCCCACTAGCTTTGACAATTTATGATATATAATTTGGGGCAAGGTATTAAAGCTTCTGTGTCTTAGTTTTCTCATCTGAAAGTGGGATAATTTAGAACCTGTGATAAAGAGTGATTGAGAAGATTATGTGGATTATTAGATGTAAAGCACATAGTGTGAAACATGGTAAATACATACATGTAAATCATTGCTAGTATTATTTATCCCAAAGAAAACAGTGTGTTATAAATCACGTTGGATTGTCCAGATGGTGCATAGAGGTTTGAAAGGATCTGAAGGGCGTGCTGCGTGGTGGCATTCATAAGTACTCTGTCTAGCAAACTGATGGCAGTGACAGAGTTGCAATCTCAGTGTGTGGTCTGACTTATTCCCAGGAATAAGTGTTTGACCAACAGAAAGGTTTCAAACACTGTGTTCAATGCTGTGAATGCAGCGATGAGTTGGACTTGGTCCCCTCTGCGGGACCATCCACTGACAGACCCAGGGCCAGTCCCGAGAGCAGATAGTGGTTTTGAACATGGCAGGGTGTTTTGTGTGGCATATGGAGAAGTGGACTATGAGACCAGTTGTTATCTGGTGAAATATTTGAGGATTGGACAAAAAAGACTCAGAAAAGTTTGCATCTGATAAACCATTTTCTTAATCACTTGTTGTGGGACAGAATGCCCAACATAAGCAGTTTAAAGGAGAGAAGATTTACTTTGGTTCACATTATGCAGAGGTTTCAGTCCATGGTCAGCTGGGTCCAACACAGCACAGCACTGCAGAGGAGCATGGTGCAGGAGTGCTGCTCACAGCATGTGGACAGGAGGCAGAGAGCATGTAGGGAGGAGCTGGAGAGACAGGTGTATCTTTCTAGGCCAAACCCTCCATGGTGTGCCTCTTAAACCAGACCCCACCTCCTAACAGCAAGCCAGCTACGAACACCACGACCCAATCCCGTCCAAAGCCCCACCTGTGAGCATGCAAGACATTGAGGGACACTTTAGATCTAAGCTGCATGTCTTGGTTACTTTTCTCTCGTTGCTGGGACAAAATACCTGACACCCAAAATGAAGGAAGGAAAGGTTTATTTCGCTTACAGTTTGTGGAGGTTTCAGTCCATACTTGGCAGATTACAAGGCAGATTGGCACATGGCAGAGGGCTACAGCTCCTGGCGCAGAACACAGCAAAGCAACCAGCACACACCAGGGCAGAATCGGGGAGGAATGGCCTCAAGCATCCTTTTCCTCTCCCTTACATATGCAAACTATCCACCCCAGGGCAGGTGCAGCTCTCACACCCACAATCAAACTTTAAAAGCCTGCCCCATGGCCGCATGAGGCTTTGAGGGGACACACAGACATAAACCATAACACTGCAACACCATGGAAAAGTGTAGTGTACTATGTGGGGACCTCATGGAGGAGGAGGGGAAGGGTGAGGTTGACAGAAGTTCTGTAATCATCATTCTGGAAGTGAGAAAGCATTTACAAAGTAAGTGTGACTGCATGTAAAAGAGAAAATCAGTAATCTAAGACTGAACTTGCAGAGACAGCCATTATTATTATTGTCATAGCTAGCAAAGGATATTAGAAAGAATTCAAAATGTGAGTAAAAAATCTGGGAATTGTGATGTCTTTATAGTTTACCGTGCTGACAGTGAATATGAAGGCCATGCAGACATCGTGAATAGCTACATGGAAATGAGGCTGTGGGGCTGAACTATGGCAAGTGCAGTGGTACCTTGGCTCATGAACTTACTTTGTTTCACAGTTTTGGGGAAGTTGACCATATTTCTGTTCATGTAGGAAAGATGCCTGGGGTGTATTTGTTACCCGGTGTGGAATCTGTGAACAGAGGCAAGATTTTGTTGGGCACTTTTGTTTGAGAACTGGTTTGTGAATGGAAGTGTTTGTGAACTGAGGTATTGCTGTACTTAGGAATTTTAATAAGTTCTGCATTGCTCCCGTTGACTGCAGATGTCTGTACCCAAACAGCAAGGACCAGGAAGGGTGGGATCTGAATGGATTATAAATGTGTCCACAGGGGCAAAGTGATTTGAGTTAACCCCATGTTGTCCCTGAGAAAGCTAGATAAAGGTCCAGGGCCTTCCTGTTTGTTTGAAGATGAGTCGCCGGTACTGAATGAAGAATGAAGGGTTTGTCTCTAAGAGTTCTGCTGTTTTACCAAGGGTCTAGTTTCTTGAAGAAGGTGTATGAAGCACTGGAGTTGCGTCTCCTCGGCTCCTGCCCTTGCAGACTGCTCAGCCGTGGGGAGTAAGGCGGATGTGTCGCAGCCCTTTCTTGGGCTTACCATCGGCAGCTTTCTAAAATTAGCAATCAAAATACTACAAATATAAGGTAAAGAATAATATTCATCAAGGCTTACTTAACCTCCACATTTAATTCAGATGGCCATTAATCAGGTAGCTAAAAATGTGTTACACTCACTCACTCCGGCAGTATCCTGAGGCGCTTCTCTCTTCACTGTGTCAATATCGTGCCCATGTGCAGGATATTTGTGTAGGAATTCTGTATTTGTAGGACACTGACTCTGCATTTTCATCCTGAAGGCTTCCTTTCAGTTGAAGCATACACAGGCTTTTTTATTAATCTAGAGATTTTTAATATCTTTTATACATTTTAAGAATTTAATTAAGATAAAGGGATACCAATTCTTTATTAAGCATTTGATGCTTTAATATTTTGATTTCTTTAAACAGTCACTAAGTGAAGTGTCAGGTGTAAGAAACTGGCGAGGAGAGATGGTCTTGAAGCAGAGAGCCGCTCTTTGTAAACATGATGAAATATGAATTCTTTTTTCTTTAGGGCTATCAGGGAATCTCAGGATCACCAGGTGTTCCAGGATCCCCAGGAATACAAGTATGTGATCTGTTCATACATATGTAAGAAATCTTGTTTCTAGTGAACCAAAAATATAATTAACATAATTTAATTTTGTGATTAATTTAGGGAGCACGTGGACTACCAGGTTACAAAGGAGAACCAGGGAAAGACGGCCAAAAGGTAAACACATTTGAATAAGATAGTGTTAGTGGTTTTTGTCACTTAAAACAGCAGATGTTATCTCTGATGGCTCCCATTCAGAGTGTGTACCCTGGTGAGTTACAAGATTTATGGCTTCTGCATAGCTCTTCTGAAAGCCCCTGTGGCAGCCAGCCTTTCCTGTGCAACAGCCTGTAGCACAGTTGCTGTCCCTTTCTGTGCTCAGGAATAACATGATTTGGAGGAAAACATGAAAAAAAAAAAAAAGGAAGTATTAGTGAAAAGGTGAAGCAAAAATTATTTGTCTCTTTAGTTGAGCTTCAAAGAACACATATAAAGGTGGGCTTTTTATTTGTACATCTTAAAAGCTTAGAGTAAACTTTTGTGGGAATAGATGTACCTTGCTGAAAAATAAAAGTAATGACATTTCTTTCTGGTACCATCTTTAAATGCTGTACTGTTTGGGGGTCATAAATGCATGAATTTTACAAAGCCATACATTCTGTTGAAGAAGATAAGATGTAAGTTATTTTCAGACCAGTGATAACTTAATACAGAATTGCTTATTTTGTGAAGTTTATTGTCAAGCTAAACTCTGATTTAGCAGAGCAGGCCTAAAATCAGAATGCTACCTTCCCAGTTGCATTCTCACATTCCATGTGACTTCTGAGAATTCATTACCCAAAGTTAAATTAATTTGTTGAATTAATTAAAGGCTTTCTCTTTATTCTTCCTTTAAAATATGGTTTCTTGATTTTCATAAATGGGAAGGTTAAAAGAATATACCCTAGACAGAGCTTTGACTGTGGCAGTGTGGGATTTTCCCCCAGCATCACAAAGTGGCCACTGGGAGATCGTTCCACACAACAGTGTTCTCCGTTAGGATATTTTCCCACAATAATTTCCACTTTGTGGTTTTTCTCTGAAGAGTCCCACAGTGGGAATTTCCACTTGGGATAATTAAAATTAGATGCACTTTCTTCAACTGACTTCAACATTTGTTCTTTATGTATCAGACAAGAGAGTATATGTAGGTTTTTTGAGTTGTTTCCGGCCTGAACTTCTAAAGTCAAAACGAACTGTTACTCAGTGAATAGACTTCAGTTCAAAACTAATTTTATTAGTTGCTTTCAAAAGCTGTTTTTAATATGAAGTTTTTAAATGTTTTTCCACCCTTAAGGAGACATATTCTGTTTACATCAGTGGAGCCGTATGTTTTGGGGAAACCTTCATTAGGATATAGTGGCTCATGGATGTGTAGCCATGAGTTTTCCAATGAGCTCTAGTTTCCTGTGCCAGATTTAATTCTGGAAGTGCAGGTAGCTCTAATATCTTATTTTTAACCTATCTAGGCTGTATACAAACTAATTTTTTTATTTTTGGCTGATCTTAAGAAATGATATATTAATTATGTTTCAAGTATTTTTATTAGCAAATCATTCATTTTCTTTATTAGCTGTTTAACATTCAGAATGTCACTTTCCCATTATCCCCAGGGTCCACGCCAGAGCGTCTTGTGAGGGTGAAACTCTGTTCTTAAACAACTCTGTTACTTGTGGGTTTCCAACATCCAAAGACTGAGTGGCTTTACATTATTTCCGTTATATAGTCAGTCTAGTCAGGGAGTTGCAATATACGTTTCGAGAGAATGGTAATAAAGAACCAGGCTAAATGATTTGTTTAATTTATAAAATTAAAACAGACTCAGTGGTGGTGTAAGAGGGAGAAATAGAACTGACTTAGCAAAGTTTTCCTTTTTTTTGCTTTCTCAAAAAACGGGAGTGTTTCATGTGAAACTGGAGAAACCTTGCAGCTGTCAATATAACCAGAGATTTGCAGAATTCTTTTTCTACTTTGTGCAGAAGGCATGGCACCACAATTTCCTTTTTAAAAAATTCTTACCTGAGAGGCTCTTCTCCCCACAAAACCCCTAGCTGTGTGTGCTCTGAGTATTTCTGGCGTTAGATTTCGTCGTGTACCTTACGGGCCCGACCTGTGGGTGCTGTGTTTTCACTCCTTCCTCCTCAGCCTTATAGGCTCATGAGCATTCCCTGATCTTCCAACCTTCTTTCTTTTAAGGCTGTAGAATGGATTAATTTATTACAAAGAATCAGTTACACATTCTGCCTCATTTAGTGGCTGTTGTTCCACTTTATACATTTCAGAAATCATTTATGTGTGTGAAAATATTTTTCCTGGTCCCCTGTAATACGTTTTGACTTGGTTTTTACCATGTTAGCCACACAGAAATGTTTAATTTTTATGTATACATTGGTCTCCTGGTTTTATATCTACTTGAAAAAGTTCTACATTTTAACATTTTGAATATAATTACTCATACTTTTATTTTTGTAACTATATTATTTATAACCTTTAAATTTTTAATTTTTGGAGTAAAGTTAGATAAGCCCTCATATTTCTGTTCTCTTTCTTTCCTAAATGGATAGTCAGTTACCACAACAATGTTTATGGAATATCACTTTTTTCTCCACTCATTTGAAAAACTATCTTTCCTATTTCACTCTGGGTTGTCACTTCAGTCTTTCCATTCTGTTCCATTGACCTGTCTACATCTTTTCCACTGCCAAATTGTTTTAATTATTGTTGCTTCATAGTATGATTTAATATATTGGCATGGCTGATCCTTCCTTATTCTTTATAATCAGAATTTTCCTGGCTATCTTTTGAATGCTTACTTTTCCAGATGAAGTTCAGTGTTTTCTCTTCTTTATATTTCAATTAAGATTCCTTTAAATTTATGAATTAATTTTAGAAGGATTGAAATCTCTCCAAAATTGAATTTTTCTATTTATGATTCTGGCTTTTTCTTTTTACTTTATTTCTGAAAACTTGATTTAATGATGTTAAAGGGGGTTTCTTTATATTCATGGTAAATATTACTTATGTGTATTATACATAGAAAAATCCTTATGTCTTTTCACTTTATTATAATTGGAACCTTTCCTTAATGTATTCCTTCACAGAACCTTTCATGCTGGTTATTGTTTGTATATATACAGCTATTTTGTCTTTGAAAACACCAATAAGCTTATTTCCCTTATTAATTATCTTAGGGTATTAGGCATACTGGCATAATCTTTCTTTTTTTTCAGTACTTGTGATTTAACCCAGGGCCTTCATTCCGAGTTATGTGGCCAGCTTTTTCTTTTGAGCCAGGGTCTTCCTAAATCATTACATTGCTCCAGATGGACGTGAATTTGTGATTGTCTTACTTCAGCCTCGCAGAGTGCTGGTAATATAGGGTGTACCACTGCACCCAGCTGGTGTATAATCCCAAGCAAAGATAATGTGTGCATTGTCTTTTATTTTTACGCCTCTTCTGTATCTTGTCTAAATTCATTGGCTAGTCCAGGGAAACATTAAAAATAGTGCAGACACAGTAAAATTTTCAGGTCTTAAACAGACATAGTTCCTTCGTCAAGGCCAATAGTGCATATATGTTATATATATTTGCAATTTTGTGTCTTTGACTTTTCTTTCCAGCGGAGAACAGCAACCAAAATACTGCCTCATTCACATCTCCCTCTCCACTCTCAGTAGTAAGCGACCTAGTTTATCCAGCATCTATTCTACTCAGTTTCTTTTTGTTGGACTGTGTATCCGGGTTGAGAGGATTCCCTGAACTCACTTTAATTGATTCAGAGGTTTTAAGAATGCTGTTTATAGTTGTATCTTTGATTTTATCTTTCCCAGGGCTGCATTTTAATTGGACTTCTAATTTTTAAAGCCATTTTCCATTTCTATTTTTTACCTGTTAGAGATAAGAAAAAAATATCTTGCATATATGGTATTTTTAGATGAAATTCATTCTTTTTATTTACTACTCCCAAACTGGCCAACTTTTTGTACACTCATATATTTTTTAATAGTACCTTGTTAAATATAACAAACAACAGTCAGTTTATAATACCGGTTGCATTAGTCACTTTCACTGTTGCTGAAACACAGTATCCAAAGCCCACAAACTAAGAGGAGAGATTTATTTTGGCATACAGTTTCAGAGGTCTTAGTCCATGCATGATTGATGAACTCCAAGGCACACCAGAAATATGGTGGAAATTTATGAGAAAGGAAAGGCATTCACACACAGGCAGGAAGCAGAGTAAAGTGAGGATACAGAGAGGGTAATGTACTCTCAAAAAGCATGCCCCCCAGTCACATACCTCTTTCAACCAGGCCCTGCCACCTCATAGCACTTTTAGCTATGAAGTGAGTGATGGATCAACCTAATGATGAACATGAAGTCCCCAATAATCAAATCATGTTCCAGAATTCCTACCTCTGATCACATGAAAGTTTTGGGGGATAAACTTGAATTTGTGATTGTCTTACTTCAGCCTCGCAGAGTGCTGGTAATATAAGGTGTACCACTACACCCAGCTGGTGTATAATCCCAAGCAAAGATAATGTGTGCATTGTCTTTTATTTTTATGCCTCTTCTGTATCTTGTCTAAATTCATTGGCTAGTCCAGGGAAACATTAAAAATAGTGCAGACACAATAAAATTTTCAGGTCTTAAACAGGCATAGTTCCTTCGTCAAGGCCAATAGTGCATATATGTTATATATATTTGCAATTTTGTGTCTTTGACTTTTCTTTCCAGCGGAGAACAGCAACCAAAATGATCTTGATCTAAACTATAGTATCTGACCCTGGCCCTAAAAGGCTCATGCCCACCTCATTATGTAAAATGTATTTAGTCCTTGTCTAAAAGCTGCCAAAACCTTAAAAGTTAGTGAAAAGCCCAAGTCTGAGGTCTCCATTGATACTCAAGGCAAACTTTTAGTTGTGATCCCTTGTAAAAATAAAAAAGACAATTGACAGGTGTAATGGTGCATGCCTGTAATCCCAGCACTTGGGCAGCTGAGGCAGGAGGTCTGAGGCCAGCCTGGACTACATAGGCAAGTTCAAGGCCAGCTTCAGACCTTGTCTGAAAAAAAAAATTAAATACTTCTAACACACAATGGTTATTCCAAGAGAGAGAAAGAAAGGGAATAGAAGGGAATGGGACAAAATCAAGCCCAAAACACAGCAGGGAGACATATCCAGCACCTGGGGCAGATTGTGGCCAGATGTAAGTTCCAAAGGGCTTGAGCAGTCCTGTCCCTGTGACCTTGCTGGCTGTAGCCCACACGGTCTCTGACTTAGAATGGTTCTGCACTCTGCACGTGACTTTTCTCAAGAGATGATCTACATTCCTGACATCTCCACCTTCCTGGGTTCTCCACTGTATCCTCAACTTCACTGTCACAGTTTTATGTAATGCCTTTTAAAGCACATTCCCTGGCCTCCCAGACCTTCTTTTGAAATTTGGGTGGATGCGTCCATGTCCCCCAGACTCGCATTCTGCACCATCATGTGCACAACACCAGGGTCAGCTGCTACCTCAGGCAGTAGGAGGTCCCCTTTGAACAAAAGCTGCAGCAGCCTCTTGTGTGCCTGCCCAGTTGAGCAGCACAGTGAAGTGAATCCCAGAATGCGTCTGATCACAAACAATTTGTTTGGCAAAATTTTATTTCCTTTCATAAACTTCACATCAGGTGACAGACATGAGTATGACCCTCTTCCTCACACAAACACAAACACAAACACAAACACAAACACAGCTATCTTCCCCCAAACTAGAACAAATTAAGTTTGTAAACCAAGATACTATTGAACTTTTAAGTATTATCACTCATGAGCTTAACACTCCCATGATCCAATCCCCCTCCAAAAACCCCACCTTGGACACCTGAGAGGTTTGGTGAATAATCTATATTTAAATGAAAACACCAGTATTCTGTCTTCTCAATATCTATTTCTACTGTAAGTTCACTTGGTGCATGTTTGGAGCATGATTGGATGTCTAATATTCTCAATTCCTCTTTTACATGTGATGTGAAATATAGATGAATAATAATAGAATAAAGACATTAGAACAAAGTAAGTGAAGAGAAGTAAAGAGAATAAAGACATTTTCAGAGATTTACTATACCAGAAAGTTATATCCCATCAATTCCTTCTTGAAAGCCATTGTTGTTCCCCTAAACAAAGGACTAAACGCAGATATAAAGAACAACTAACCTACCCTGAAACAAATAATACAACTCTGAGACTTACTAAAGAATAGGAAATTTTCAATGCATATGAATGTGTTTGAAAGTGATTTTGATAATTCAAGGAAGTTTGAAGTTGAATATAGCAGTAAGTTTAAAGGGAATCACTAACACAAAAAGTTATCTTTTTAATTCAAGAAAAATAAATATTTCAGCAAGAGAAGCCAAGTAGTTACAGTATACTTGAGGCATAACTATAAGTATTAATAGCTCTGACTGCTGACTTAACTAAAGCTGAAAAAAGTGAAGGGGATTTTTGGTCGTCAGAAGGGGAGATGGAGAAGGAGAATTGAGTTGTCTTGGAAGTTAACCCTCTTTGTTCATAGTGTGAAGGCAGCAGATAATGCTGAAAAATGAAAATGTAAGTGCAATGCAGTCATGTACTTTAGCATTTTGAACTCAGAGATTTGGAACTTGAAAGTAAAATAATTGCCTTTGGAGAGTTTTGTAAGCCTTGAATAAGTATATTGTTCTTTAAAACATGTGAAGAAGGGGCTGGGGATTTAGCTCAGCGGCACAGCACCTGCCTGGCAAGTGCAAGGTCATGAGTTCGATTCCCAGTGCCAGAAAAACAAACAAACAAACAAAAAAACATGTGGATGAATAACTTTTAGAAAAATTACACTAATCATAAATACCTGATCAGCTTCTCTTTTTCCTCTACCATGGACATTAAGACAATTGTATGTATGCAGTATCTTTTTGTGCCATCACAAAAGTGAACGTGATCCAAATCTTTCCATAATAGTTATCGTTTCTTTCCTGTGTCTTCACATTTAATGTTTTGAAGCTAAGGCAATAGTGTCCACTGTTTCTCTCACTACTAACTATAAACTGTGTCCAGTGGTTAGAATGCTTTTCATGTTTTCTCTTGAGATAACATTTTCATCTTTGTAGACACATCTGAACAGATACTGACTGTAAGATTAGCATTTATTAAAAACCCACATAATCCTGCAGTGTGCTGAGATTTTCAGTTCAGGGTCTGTACTTAATGAGCCGTATGAGACCTTAAAGGCTGACTGTCTCCAGCGAAAGTTGGCTGAAAACCATTTCAATAAATTCATTGTCTTGGTCCTATAAAAGTCTGCATTGCTTTCAGAATAGATGACAACTCTGTAAGAGTAGACTCAGGATTGATGGTGAGGTGCCTGTGATTTTAAAATGTTTCACCTCTCGGATCACAAATGACACCATGATAAAGAAGGTTAATCTTCATAGAGACAGAATTTCATACAGATCCAAATGTGAGTGGCTGGAGATTCATTTCTAGTGGATTTGGTAATGGTGAGTTTCATGACTTTAACATTTAATTTAACATTTGTTACATTAAATTCAATCAAATGCTGTAATTCTTGTTGAATGTTATAATTCTTGGACTATTTTTCCTTTAATTAATTTCAGTTTTATTTTCAGGGTGACCGTGGGCTTCCTGGTTTTCCTGGTCTTCATGGGATGCCTGGATCAAAGGTTGGAAAATTCTCTTCTAAATTAAGCAATGCCATATTTTAATTAAAATGAAAGGATGTTTATATTACAATTGTATTTTAAGTAAATGCTTGTAGATGAATATAAAGATAAGTATGTTAAATTATTAGGTTAGAATTAATATCACCATTTATATAAAACTTTAAAAAAAATCTCTCTAAAGTTTCCAGTTATAAGTGTATAATTATATAGTACCCTATTTAACAATGGCTGAACAAGTCTACTATATACAGTGTGTATAATATACTATTTATTAGTTCTCTCAACCTGAAATTCTCCAATATAAGCCCCACTGCAGTACTTGTGTATCCCTATAAAGCCTGTAAAATAGGACTTTTAGTAGATAAGTTTTAAATTATTTTGAGTTTGGAATGTTACACTTTATTATTTGTAATCTGTGTTTCTTTTTCTTCTAAGGGAAATATTTATTTTCTTCAAAGTCAGTGCTTTTGTTATTGTCTTTCAGGGTGAAATGGGCCCCAAAGGAGATAAAGGGTCACCTGGATTTTATGGCAAAAAGGAAAGTATGGGTCACACACCTGAATACCCACACTGACCATTTAATGTAACGGAAACAACAAACTTGTACTGCATCTCTGTTCAACCTCAGCATTCTCAGAGGACTTATTTAAAATGATAAACAGAGGAGAAATGTCTGGTGACTGTTATGTGTGCTATCCTATAGGAATGCTTTGTGTTATTTTATTGTGAATTTAAATAATATTCACAGCGAGAGATTCCTTGGGAAGAGCAGCTGCTTGAAAATATGTCCACTGAGAATCTGTGCTACTAGCCTTCCTATCTCTTCACACTTAGGGAAGCTTGTATGCTTGGTGTTTAAAATACCCACTGCTTTTTAACTTGTCAGGGTACAGTATCTGTGTCTAGATGCTGAGAATATTAACTCTGCATCTGCCAACGTTTTCATTTCGTTGTTTTACGTTGTGCCCACTGGGCTGGTAAGAAATCACGCCTTAACAAAGACTGTAGAGGCAGCACAGTCTGCCATTCTTCCGATTCTGCCTCCCCATGATGAGTTTAGCTGCAAGCTTTCCTCTGCAGTTAAGAACTGAGAGGCATTATTAGAAGGATTATTTTTTAAATGTTATTTTTAATACAGGGTGCAAAAGGTGAAAAGGGGAATGCTGGTTTTCCTGGCCTTCCTGGACGTCCTGTGAGTTTAATGTGAAAAAACATTCTTGAGTATTTTACCTTAAATAAATAGAAAAAAATCAGTACAAAAATATGTTAAAAATACATGTGTTTATTTTTCAGGGAGAACCAGGAAGAGATGGAAAAGATGGATTAATGGGTAGTCCTGGCTTCAAGGTATTTACTAAAATAAAACGATAACTTTTTTACCTTGTGAGTGAACGGTAGAAAAATATACCAGTACTAGAATTTTTTACATATAGCATTGGGATAAATTAAAGAGCTGAAAGTTTTTGAATCTAATGTAAGAATGATACTAATTTTCTGTTGAGTTGATCATGAACTGTGAGGTAGAATGCCATGGAATATTGAAAGTTGAGGATCATTGATATCCCATTCAGACTGGATTACTTGGTGAATTAGAGGCAAGAATTCATAGTGCTGTCTCTCAAAGAATTAAGGTTTTGGGGGGAAACTTTTGCCCTAATCCTTAAAACATCTCTGTGTCTTAAACAGTATGGGATGAGGATGAGGGAGTTAGAGCATGAGGGATTTGCAGAGTGGCAATTCTGATGATGGCTTAGCACCATAATATTCTTACAAAACACTTTTAATTGGCTGCATACAAAATAGCAATGGATTTTCTGTGGTGTAGAGAGGACCATCAAGGCTTTTATATACTCGGGTCAGTGCATCTAGGATGTGCAGGCAGTCCAAGTGATCGCATAATGGGCTCACTGTAAGCTGATTTGGATCTCTCAGGACAGGATTTGTGGAATTCATCAGAGGTGAAGGAGCCACTTGGTTAAGCAGTGGCTTTAGAAATCTCATCCCATTTCCAAATAGTGAGCATTCTGAAGCTCAAACTTGCCCAGAAATCCGTTCCATATTGTTATAGTTGTATTTTCTTCATTTGGAAAAATTTCCCACTTAGTTGAAATTCACTATCTATCATTCCTCAAAGAGTACAGGTAGCACTTTCTGTAAATATAAGTGTAAATGTAAAATATTAGACCTATTTTAAAGAGCTTGGTTTCCTCTTGTTAATTATGTTCCACTGAATCTCATTTTCTACATATTTGTTAGAAAGATTTTATTGAGTTTTAGAATAAAAGCATCATGGTCCTTACTCATGAGTTATGTTGTCTAATTAGATTCTCCTATACCTACAAATTAGGCATTAGTTTAACTCTTCTTCATATTTTGTTAGTATAAACCCATTACCCCAAGGATGGGATTGCATTTTCTGAAGATAGAACTTAAAGAATAGATCCAAATTAGACCTTCAGCCTTTAATGTCTTTTCTAGCTATGTATCATTTGACAAACTTTTTGACCCTTAGCTTCCTCCATTTGCAGTAAATATATATGTTATATATAGTATATATATATTTTATATTTATATATTAAATATTTATATATTACATATTTATATATTGTACATATTTTATACATATTTATTGCAGAATTCATCCACATATTATATACAGTGTAATGCTTTCTACTGTATTTACAGAGGTACACAACCATCACCGCAGTTTAAGACATTCTCATCACCCGAAAGAAAAACCTGTATCTGATATCCGTCACCCCCATTTCTCTATAAGTTCCTGTCATTTGTATCCGGCCCCAGACCACCACTGTCCTTTCTGTCATTGTGGATTCCCCAGTCTGGACTTGTTCTACAAGTGGAATCATAAAATACACAGTTTTTGAGACTGATTCTCTTACTTATATCATTTTCAAGGTTCAACTATGTTTTGGTCTACATCAGTATTTCATTATAGCTGATAGTATTTTAAAAGATGGATATATAACTGTGGTTAGCATTTTAAGGTCAATTCACTCTTGATGTATGATATTTAGAATATTACCCTTTATAAATATTTTCTAAATTTTTATAGTCTTAATTTAGATATGGAAGTCTATAATTTATTTTGAGTTAATTCCTATTTATAATATGGGAGAAAAGTCAAAGCTCACCTTTTCCTCATGTGGATATTCAGGTATTATAACATTATTTATTGAAGCCCTTTACTTCCAGTTGAATTATACACACACACACACACACAGAGTTACACAGAATAGTGAGGTTTATCTTGGTGTATATGTGTGTAGAAGGGGTATAATTGGTGTATAAGACACTTTGATCATTTCCACCCCCCATTTTCCTGCTTGCTTACCTTTTCCCCTGCCCTGAGTCCCATCCTCTTCTCTGATACTCCCTCTTCTATTTTCGTGTCATCTTTTCAGATATTTTCAGATTTTAGTTATGAGAGAAAATATGTGATACTTGTGAGTCTGGCATATTTCACTTCCCATGGTACTTTCTAGTTCTATCCATTTTTCTGCAAATACCATGATTTTGTTTTCCAACTCTGAGCAGTATCCTGTTTCTCTGGACTTTCCAAGAAAATGGGGTTCCTTATCTCAATCTAATTGCTTACTGGACATCTCCCCTTGGAAGAACCACAGTAGCCTAAAATGAACACCACACTGTTCTCATTTCTCTATTTTCCTAGCACACCAAACCCTCCAGAAAATAACTTCAGTGACTGAAGAAATGGTAACTTTACCATCTGTAGAAAAGAGACACTACAGGACTAGGAAGCCTGACACTCCACCCAAGCTTTTCCATGCCTGCCTATCTATGCGGATTCAAGTAAATGTGAGACATTGCAAACTAATAAAGAATTGGCAGACAATACACAAACAAAACAGCCAAAAGAAAAAAAATGAGAAAACATTTAAGTGAATTTTCCTCACAAAATAAAAGGAACAGAAGAAAAATTCAACAAAATGCTGTAACGTGGGTCAACAAACCTACCAGCATTTGCCGATGTAAAAAATTTAGAAATCAAAGACACAGAATGAAAACTGAAAAAAGTAAGATACAAGGTAAGAATCAACAATCAAATTAAATGGGAAAAGAAAACACAAAATCATCTCAGGTATGAGCATCATAGTTAAATTATTAGCAAAAAGCACAGCTGAATGGATTTCATTTAAAACTAAGAAGGCACTGAGAACACTAAACAGCTAATAATATGGAACCAACTTTAAAATGAAAATGATAGTGGTAGAAGACAGGGAAACAAGTCTCAAAATACATGTAATTGTAGTACTTTAGATGCAAACCACAGCACGGTAACCAAAGTTTAAAGCTATAAATTGATAGAATCATGCAGAAGTAAAAGAAGGCCTCAGGCTAACTGCTGAACAAAGTGTGGGGTTAAACGGAATTCTTAATTCTGACTCACACTTAGATTATTAGAGTTTGAATTTGACTCTTTCCTTTTACTGATAAGGTTGGCTAAGACTTTATCAATTTTATTTATTCTTTCGAAGAACCAACTCTTTGATTCATTAATTCTTTTTGTTGTTTTCTTAGTTTCTACTGCATTAATTTCTGCTCTGATCTTTATAGTTTCCTCCCTTGCATGGGCTTTGGGCTTGTCTTGCTCTTCTTTTTCTAGAAGTTTAAGATGCAATATTAGGTTGGTTATTTATGCTCATTCTGTTTTCTTGATGTGAGAATCCACTGCTATAAATTTCCCTCTTAGGACTAATTTCATTGTGTCCCATAAGTTCTAGTATGTTGTATTTGCTTTCTTATTTAGTTGTAGATCTTTAATTTCATTTGTGATTCATTGGTTGTTTAGGAGGGTGGTATTTAATTTCCATGTGTTTAAGAAGTGTTTGCACTTTCATTTGCCATTAATTTCCAATTTCATTGCACAAAGTTCAGATAATATGCATGGGATAATTTCAGTTCCTTCGCATCTACTTAGGCCTGTTATGTGGGCTAATATATAGCCTGTTTTAGAGACCATCCCATGTGCAGCTGAGAAGAATGTGTATTCTGATGATGTTGGGTGGAACACCCTGAAAACGTCTAAGTCCATTTGTTCATGCATTTGGTCCAGGTCTGATATTTCTTTGCTGATTTTTATCTGGTTGATCTATCTCTTTTTGATGATGGGATATTAAGCTCTCCCATTAAAATTGTGTTATTGCTTATTTGATTTTTCATGTCTATTGATAATTGTCTTATATAGTTCCTATATTATACCAGTATCTCAACATCCAGCATTCAAAAATGGCACAGCCTGTATTACGAACAAAGACTGTTAAAACCCCAGCTTATTGAGGGCAGTGGATCTTCTGAGGCTTGGGCTGTGCACAACACTGAAATAAAAGCTTATTCTGTTTTCCTAAGAAAAAAATCTTGCACACTGGGGGTTTCAGTGATGTTCAGCACCTGAGTTCATGTTCAGTGAGGTTAAAGGATTTAGTCACAGACGCCCGGAAGTGTCCTGGGCGAGTGAGAATTCCAGGCCCCGACCACACGGCTCCTCTGCTCATGACGCTTGCTCGGTGCCTGTGCTCTTGGCTGCCCAGGAAAGCCCCCAGGCTCCCATCCTCAGTGCACTCGTTCACATGCTAAAGACCAGCTGTGCAGGAAGATCAAGTCGAAATAAAGCGTTTCTTTAGTAATAAAGTAGAGACCTTCCTCACACGATAGTTCCGTCACGGGGAAGCCGTATTGTCCACCTGGCTGTGGCATTGCTCTGACTGCAGTCTAAATTACTGTCTATCTTTTCACTTATTTATTTGTGGTCAGGAACTAAAGACCACAGCACGAAAGCAAATGAACATGCAATATAAGTTTCACATGTTTGTTTTTAATTAAATTTGCTATTTTGAAATAAGTATGTTGTGACATAAATCATTTTGCAAATTAGATGGAGAAATTGGATTGAAGAATCATATTGAGAGTGATAGGTATTTTTTTATTTATTTTATACCAAGAAGGAATTTTTTAGTAGAACATAAAAATGATAAATTAGAGGTACAGTCATGATATAAACTTTTGTATCATTAAACTGATCTGTATCATGTTTTCCTGATCATGAAAGTGACAAAGTAAAAAGTTAAAATTCTGATTAAGATACTGAATTTCACAGACTGGTTGTGTATTGCATTGTTGATTTAGGGGAAATAGCCAGGTAGAAATTATTTTTGTTTAAATTAAATTATATTTGTTTTCATTCTAATTCCGGCACTCTGGGGCGGGGAGGCAAGAAGATCCTAAGTTTAAGCCCAGTTTAGAAAATTTAATAATTAGCGAGAACATATCTAAAATAAATAAAAAGTAAAAATAAGAGGGCTGGGAACATGACCCAGTGTGAAGATCCAATTCCTACTATGGCTAAGAGAAAAAAAGAAAAGAAAGGAATGAAGAGAACAGAACGTTTCTAGGTAAAGATTGCTAGCTAGGAATTGCTAGCTCCCATCTTGTGATAACTAACCTGCATAATCTTCTCATACCACATTTTCAGATATTTCCTTTTCCCTTTAGACTGAGCATTTAAAGAATGAATAGTCCATTCTTCCTTGCATAGTGTACTCTAATGATTGCAGGGAGGAGGACAGAGTCTCATATTACGCTTGGTGGTGGTCTGAATATGACGTGATGGTAAAAACAAACAGGGAGGTAAATCTTTTACAAAGGGGACAGGGACCAAGAGACAGAGGGAGGGAGGAGGGAGGGGTGGAAACAGGAGGTTAGAGGAATTAAGGTGTGTTATATGTGCTGCTCCCCATGACGAATGTACTCATTATGCATTGCAAACGTACTTAGGAATAAATAAAAAGCAAACCTCATTTGAAGATACTGCCTACGTTTGATGAGTGTGTGAGGAAAATAATACTTATATAAACAACACAGCAAAAACAACCTAGCCATCAAAACATTCAGTGCTAGATTTAAAGCTGTATTGTACAGTACTATCATAGGTTATAATGGAGAGGACAGAAATCATCTGTAAGGCCTTATCTTGAAATATGGGCTAGATCAGTAGTTTTCAGAGTGTGGTCCTAGGGCTAGTAGTATCAGGAATTTCTAAGAACTTGATAACCGCATTCTAGGGATCTAGCCTAGAGCTCCTGAGTCAGGAGTTGTGGGTTGGGGCCCATGTTCCACAGTTCAACAACCCTCCAGGAGATTCTGATAAAACTGGATTATGTTTTGTTCATCTAATTCTGTATTATCCTGGTTGTCTTTCCTAACAAGAAATGAGAAGACTGACAATAAATTAAACCCTCAAATAATTGTAGGACATCATTATTCACAAATTTGCTAATTGATGGGGGAGTGGGTGTGTGAGTGTGTTGTGCTCAAAGGAGGGGCACACAGTGTGGGGCTGGAGATTGAACCTAGGGCTTCAGGTGAGATAGGTGAGCACTCTGCCACTGAGTTACAGCCCAGCCTGTTTCATTACTTTAAAAAAAAGTCCTCATAATGAGAATGAAATAAGATGTTAGGTCAGTGGATAGAGACGTAAAAGAGATTTTTCTAAACCAAGTAGTCATGCACTCTCAAATTGTTTCTCCTCTTTGATAACTGCCCTCATCCCTTGAGTTCACATGGAGAAAATCTAAACTGCAGGTTTGCTCAGTAAGTTGGTTGGGACTGTACTGCATGAAGGGAGGGAAGTTAAGTGGTCTAACTACATATTGGGCTGTGGTTTTCCAATGGCTGTGTTAGAATCGGCTGGAGACTTATTAGAACTCAAATTGCTTCCCAGCCTTCCTTCTCCGGCTTCTGTTCAGCAGGCAGCAGTCAGGACGTGGAATTTATGTATGGAGGTTCCCACAAGGAGAAGGTGACCTGGATGGTTTGAGGGCCTCTCTTTGAGAACCATGGACTGGGGTGTTTCTTTCTGACAATCGACAGAAGGGTTGAGTTCAGATAATCTACTATAGTACTTCACTGTAGTTTTTAGGAGTTAATGTATCCCTTTTCTCTAATTTTTCAGGCATTTTCAGACTGTTGTTCCTGCACTAAGCAGACCCCACATGCCTTTTGGTTTTGCCTGACATTTTCGTAACCTTTGCTATAGAAACAAGGTGCCAACAGGAACTTCCTTCCCTCCAGTTTGGTTAATTTACAGGAGAACATTATTCTTTGCCCTTTTATAGCTTTCAGGTAGTGTTTGTAGATAAAATTGGAACAGATGAAATATCTGGCTTTTGTCGATATTTCACCGTGCTAATGAAATGAAAGAAGTCATAGAAGTGAGGAGATGGGAGCTTATTCAGGTGATGTAACTGAATACTTTTCTACCTGCTGATTATGTCAGTGGAGTTTTATAGGCTCTTCTGTGCTTCATTTTCTACAATTTTTGGAAATTCACTAGAATATGAAACACTGAAAAATAATGTGAGAATATGCTTTATATTTAGTGAATATATTCTGAAACTCCCACCTTGTACCTGTTTCAGCTCAGGTATTTGTACAAAAATGCTCTAGTTTAACATACCTTCTTCCTCTCATCTATGATGAATATTCTCTCTGATACGAAACAAATGTTCACAATTGCTCAAGGACAACTTTAGTTCCTGGTTAGAAAGAAGCAAAACCATGGGTCTTAATGACTGTTAGGTTTGAAGAGTCTGTGAATAACATGCATTTAGGATTACAATCAGCTACTATTTATTGCTTTAGTAGCTAATAGGTTAGCTATGTCTGTATATACTGGCAATTGATTCATTTGGGAAAAATTTTTAATATACTGATGAGTGGATATGTAATAAGGTGCTTAAATAATTTGAGTATAACAATTTAAAAGTATGTAACTGAAAACTATTAAAAATTATTGACAGATAGTACCTAAAATATACATTTTGGATGTTTACTTTTTTTTTTTTTTTTTTGGTTTTTCTCTGGTACCGGGAACCGAACTCACGACCTTGCGCTT